TGTGTGTGTGTGTGTGTGTTTCCATAAGAGTCTGAGAATTGTCCTTTCAAGGTCTGTAAAGAATTGTGTTAGAATTTTGATGGAGATTGCATTGAATCCATAAATTGCTTTTGGTAGGACGGCCATCTTTACTATGTTAATCCTATTGATCATGAGCCTGGGGGATCTTTCCATCTTCTAATATCTTCTCCAATTTCTTTCTTCAAAGACTGTAAGTTTTTATCATACAAGTCTTTGACTTGTTTAGTTGGAGTTACCCCAAGGTATTTTATATTATTTGTGGCCATTGATTATGTTTTGCTGTCTACTCCTTTTGAGTGTAATTTCTTCCTTTTATTGTAGAGTTTTAAGTGTGCTGTTAAGTTACCAGTATGAGATCGCTTCAATTTTTTTTTGTTTTGTTTGTTTGTTTCTTTGCTTGTTTGTTTTTCGAGACAGGGTTTCTCTGTGTAGCTTTGCGCCTTTCCTGAAACTCACTCTGTAGCCCAGGCTGGCCTCGAACTCACAGAGATCTGCCTAGCTCTGCCTCCCAAGTGCTGGGATTAAAGGCATGTGCCACCACTGCCCGGCTTCAATTTTTTTTTTATGTAGGATCTTAGTGCTATGAACCTTCATTGTCCCCTATAAGCTGGGGTATGCTGTGTATTCATTTTCATTGATTCTAGAAAGTCTTTCATTTCTTTCTTTATTTCTATCTTGACCCATTTTTCATTCAGTAAAGAGTGGTTCAATTCCATGAGTTTGTAAACTTTCTGTTGTTTCTGTTGTTATCTACTTTTAATCTATGAGGGTCAAATAAGATACAGGATGTTATTTCAGTTTTCATATATCTGTTGAGATTCATTTTATGAACGAGCATGTAGTCAATTTTGGAGAATGTTCCATGTAGTCGAACTGATACATGGTCTTATTAAATAAAAAAACATGGAGCCAGATATAGGGGTGAAAACCTGAGAGAGCAGGGAAATAGGAAAATCCACAAGCTAACTTCATCTCACCAACACTTCAGTCTCCAAAGAGAGAGCCTTACTTCCTATATACCCACGCCTATATGCCTTTCTGTTCTGCTCCCTCATTTGCTCTCTCAGCCCAGCTACATCACTTCCTCTTCCTTCCCAGATCTGTCACTTCCTGTCTGTCTATACAGACCTCCAGACCTCTATGGTTAGTGTTGTGATTAAAGGCATGTGTCACCATGTTTGACTCTGTTCCCCAGTGTGACCTTGAACTCACAGAGATCCAGACAGATCCCTGCCATTCAAGTGATAGAATTAAAGGTGTGTGCTACCATTGCCTGACTTCCATGCTTACTTAGAGTGGCTGGCTTTTTCCTCTGATCCTTAGATAAATTTTACTGGGGGACACAGTATATTGGGGGACATAATACATCACCACAGTTCTATGAGATTCTGAAAAGAAGATATATTCTTTTATGTTTGGGTGAACTGCTCTGTAAATATCTGTTAAGTCAATTTGATTTACAATGTCAGTTAACTCGAACATTTCTCTGTTTAGTTTTTGTCTGGATGACCTGTTTTTGGTGAGATTTGGGTATTGACATCTACCACTATCAGTGTGTGAAGGCCAACATGTCATTTAACCTGTATTAGGATTTCTTTTATGAATGTGGGTGCCCTTGTGTTGGGTGCATAGATGTTAAGAACTCCAGTGTCCTCTTGTTGGATTTTCCTTTGATAAGTATGTAGTGTCTTTCCCTACCTCTTCTGATTAGTTTCGGTTTGAAACCTATTTTATTAGATATTAAAATGGCCATACCAGCTTGGTTTTTAAAGTCCATTTGCTTGGGATATCTTTTTCCATTCTTTTACCCTGAGGTGATGTCTCTATCCTTTATGGTAAGATGTGTTTTTAGATGCAGTAGAAGAATGGATCCTGTTTTTGTATTCATTCTGTTAGTCTGTGTCTTTTTATTAGGGAATTGAGACCATTGATGTTGGGAGATATCAGTGAGCAGTGTTGGTTGATTCCTGATATTTTGTTGGTGTGGTGTGGTGTGGTGTGGTGTGGTGTGGTGTGGTGTGTGTGTGTGTGTGTGTCCTGGTCTGGGATTATTTAGTCCTTGTGTTTTCTTGGATGTATTTAACCACTTTAGGGATGAGGCTGGGCTAGGACAGGAAATGGGGGCTCCACAGGAGAGAGGAAAGCAAGACTTCCTACCGGGATTTGCTTAGTCCACTGGGAATGGGCTAGAGTGAGGAGAGGCCAGGGCAGGTATTCTGCTACAGAGCTGGAAATGAGACCAGGATGTTGGATTTGGAGGAGAGGGGGGGGTGAGTGAAGATCTACAATTAGCCTACCTGCTTCATGGGCCTACCTGTTTCCCTGGCAGGCTTGGCTATGGGGTTCCCAGGGAATGCTGGCTGGAGTTGGGGGCTGGGATGAAGCAGTAAGTTGGGGGGAAGGGAGGTTGGAGGGGAAGATCTGTGTGATCAAGCAGGGAGGGAGAGGAGGCTGCCTCAAGCAGTCTGCTACAGATCTGGGGATGAGACTGGGGGATTGCATTTGGAGGGGCGAAAGGAGCCTGCTTCTCTGGCCAGAGTCCAACCTCTTTTCCCAATGTTATGCCATCCCAACCAATCCAGACGAGAAAGAGGGTTCGGGTGGACCAATTGATCTTCAAAACATCAAGATCAGCCTGAAATCATGCAATTATTCTTAGCTAAGTACAGAGGTAGTGTTCGTGTGTCTTGTGTCAAGAATCATAGCTGCTGTAGGCTGAGTGCGATGGTTCACCAAGCAAAGACATCTGCTGTCAAACCTGACCAGCTCAGTTGGGTCCCTAGTGGCCACACTGTGGAAAGAGAGAACTGACTCCCCACAGCTGACCTCTACCCTCCACATGTGCCCCAACGCACTAAACACAGAACAAAGAAAAACACAATTAAAATTTTTTAATCCCATCACAGATGGCCACTGTAAGTGGAAGTTAGACGAAAAAATGTTTGATACCTCAGGTTCCTTAGCTGCGGATGCACAGGAGGCTCAGCTAAGGGAAGCAACACCCCACACTGGAGTGTTTGGGCTAAGAAAACCTGTCTGGCCTAGGGAGGTCACTGTATCCCATGAGACAAGCACCTGTGGGGTTTCTTTCCCCAGTTCATTCATTTATTGCTTTCACCACTGTGTGCCAGTGCTTAGCAAAGCCTGGAAAAATGAACTCCACATTATGAAATACATAACCCTAACATTTCTTAAATTTTTGCCTGCCTCTACAGGTGGGCAGGTTCAGGGAAACCCCCTTTACCAAGATTGTTTCATTCCTTACAGCAGATTTTCATGTGGTCCATGGTCTGTCCACATCTGGCTCTGTTCCAGGTCTTGTTTGTTGCTGTAAGGAGGACCCTGGGCACTTACCTCTCTGTGCTTCTCAGGCAATCCTCCAACCTTTGCCCTGAAGATTATTTAGGGATGTCTCTCAACAGGTCATCAAAGAAGACAATCTACAGAAAAACAGTCAAGAAGTGGGTACCTACATGTTACTGAAGTTTGCTGAGCTGCGGGATGAATTCGACATTGTTGGGGATGTCCGAGGCAAAGGTCTCATGATAGGGATAGAGATGGTTCAAGACAAGGTAATGATCTGCAGCTGTTTGGGTGGCTGCCTGGGGCCAGCAGCAGGTAATTGTGGAAGTTAATAGGGCTGAATGCATACATATTACTCAAACTATGAAGCTGTTGGTTACTATATATAATACACCATCAAGGCCCATGGGAAAGGTGGGTAGGAAGCCCTGAGGGAACAGCAAGCTGAGTGCACTAAAGGGAACCCTCCTCTACCTTAAAGTCTGACTCATGAGCAGGATCGTGGCTTACACATCTAAATCTTGGAAGCTAGACATAGTGATGATGATCCCCATGACTGATCTGTGAAGGAAACAGGAGAAAACGGGGCAGCAAAGGCACCCAAGACTTATCAAGGAGGACTGGAAGGGTTCCCAAGACAGCTATCTAAGGATCATGTTAGAAATACAGATGCTAAGCCTTTCCAGATATACCAATTTGTCCTACCACAAGGCCCGTATATTTGTAGTGTGAAAGGCCCCAGGGAATGCAGGTGCACTTAGGCTTGAAATAGATAAACTAGGGGGAAATATTTGTGTTGGAAGACTGAGGATGCAGGAACACACAGAAATGATGCAAACTCCAGCCCAATGTCACCAAAGTTGAAGTAGCGTGGTAAGAAACCAACTTCAGTGCCTAGAGATCTGCCATGGCCTCTTGGCTCCTAAGCACTTGCTTTCCCTAACCCTGACAGTTGGAGTCTTGGGGAAGGTAATTCCACAAACGTGGAAAACACTTAGCTCCACACCAGCTCCATGGCCATGCCATGGCCTGGGAAACATTTAGCTGCATGTGCCCTTATGCAACTTCTAAGCCACTTCCTGGACTGTGGAATGAAGTCTTTAGCTAGGCAGAGCACCCTAATGAGTTGAAGATGATTTTAACACAAACAAAACAGATCCCAAATCAGCTATTAAAGGACCAAACCCCAGGGTAGCCTTTAGCAGAGCCAGGATTCGTTTACTGCCTACATGGAATTTCACTTTGTCTTTGGGAATTTTTTGGGATAAAGTAGAGTAAAAGCCAATACTTTTAATACCCACTCACCCCCCAAAACCAACTCTGGTTCAGTAATTAACAGCTTTCCTTAATTAGGGAGACATTAATTGCTTGAGTTTTGTTTTGTTGTGGTTTTTCTTGGGCCCCATACCTGGGGAAATAATTTTTCTAACCATTCAAACACCAAATAGAACCCCCCCCCCTTTTTTTTTTAAATGTATTCACAGATGAGCCGCCAACCTCTTCCCAAAACAGAAGTAAATCAAATCCATGAGGACTGCAAAGACATGGGGCTCCTATTGGGCAGAGGTGGCATTTTTTCTCAGGTAAGAGAAGGGCTTCCTGTCAGGTAGGGTCTCCCTGGGGTGTCACTGTGCTAGGGCACCCAGCTGTACTTCCTCCGTGTTAGGATAATTCTCAGGTATAATCAGAAGACATGGACAAGAGACAGCTTCTGCCACTAGAGGGTGATGTGGTAAAGGGATTCAGTTATCCATTTCTTTGTAGGCAAAGGAGAGGCATTAGAAAGGCCACACAAACCAGACAATTCACAGCATGGGTGATAATAGAATCATAACACTCATGCAACTTATATATACATATGCATTGTATTGTGTATTAGTTAGTTCTAACCCCTGAGAAAACAATCATAGTCATTCTTAACTCCACCCTGAAGTCTGACTTTGTAAATCTGCTCAGCTTTAGTGGCCATCTATGATCCCAGAAAGAGAGATTAGAGGCCATCCTAAACTTGACCCCTGATGCAGAACTCAAGAACAGCCATTCAGCATCCTTCACCTTCAGCTGAACTATTCCAAGACAGGCTCACCCTACCCCCTTCCTGGAAGTTAAACCCTGGTCTGACCCTGTGCTACAAGAATGAGATGGTGATGATGGTGATGATGATGATGATGATGATGATGATGATGCACAATATGCCTCTAAATCCCTACAGCATCAGGTCCCTTACCAGAATGGGCTCCCATGGTAGAGATTCAAGAATGAGAGTGACTTCTGTTCCCCATGAATATTCTTTTTTCCTTCTTTAATTTTGCCCATTTCAAAACATTTTCTTTCATGAAACATGATCATTGCCCATATTTAGGGAGTACATCATGATGTTTGGATTTATGAATAATGTTACAATGTTCAAGAGGTAACACTTATCTGTCTTCTCACATATCATTTCTTTGTGATGAAAACATTCAAAATTCTTTCTTCTTGACCTTCTTAGTTGAGGTTTTATTGCTGTGAAGAGACACTGTGACCATGGCAACTCATATAAAGGAAAACATTTTATTGGGGCTGGCTTACAGTTCAGAGGTTTAGTCTATTTCATCATGGCAGGTGGCATGCAGGCAGACATATTGCTGGAGAAGGAGCTGAGAGTTCTACATCCTGATCCACAGGCAGCAGACTGAGACACACTTCCTCTAGCAAGGCCACACCTACTCTGACAAGACCACACCTTCTACTAGTCCCACTCCCTATGGGCCAAGCATTCAAACACATGAGTCTATGGGAGCCTTAGCTATTCAAACCACCCCATGGACTTTAGAAATATACAGTGCATTGTTGCTACCTTTAGTCAATTCAGCATGCAGAAGATCACCAGACTTCTTTCTTCTAAATGCAGTTTAATATTTCTACCTACTTTAAAGACTCCTCATTTGTCCCATTGTCCTACCCCTTTCCTGGCTAACACAATGGATACTGAAACATCTTCTTGCCTCATGCTTGACAGAGGACATTGAAACTATCAGACAAGATGCCTAAATAAACACTAGAAATTATTTTCTGTTTATATCAAATAGTGTGGCTTAATTATCTAAATCTTTAGTTATAAAGATATGAAGTAATTGTCTACTTGTTTAGTTTTTCCTTCAAATTCATGTTAAGCAGCCAGTGATATGCTGGGAACCAAAGCTACAATGATAAATGTGTTCTGATTACAATCTTCATTGAGCTTATGGGAGAAAAAAAACATACCAACACAAAACTGCCATACAATATATTAATCTCTTCTGCAGCTATAAGATGTGATGATGTGGAAGGAAAGAGAATAGATGCTGAGGCCATCATCTTGCCAGCAGAGCCTTAACTCACTATACAAAAAGCCAAAGCATGAGAAAAAAATGCAAAGAGCTGTCCACACACTAGTGTGGCTAGAGCATCAGCTTAATGTGATGGCTGGGGACAGCTAGAAGTCCTGTTACCTTGTCAGCCACTCTTCTTCACATGTTGTACATGCTGACTCATATAATGCTCTCTCAACAAACCAAAGAAATCAGTCCTATGATCACCCTTACTTTAGAGGTACTTAGAAGTTAAGTCAGTTGCCCAGATCGTGTAAGTAGTAAAGTGCATTTTTGAGTCTGGGTCTCTGAGACAAGTTTGGAGGCAGGGAGTCTGGCAGAAACTGAGGCTGCTTCAGCAGTGGCTGGAGAAATAAAAGATACATTCTGATGGTATTCAGGGAGTGAACTACACATGGTTTGGGTCTGAAAAATAAGCAAGAGAGAAAAATGAAAGCCTCATGTTCGATTTGGCTTAGTGGACATGAGTGCATTCCTCCTTGAACATGCTTCATTTAAGGCATTTATGGGCACCTGGTTTGGTAATTGAGCATGTGGTTAAGTGGAAAACATTGGGGTAAAGATTATAGTTTGGGGTCATCAGCACACTAATGGTAAGATGAAGAAAACTGGGGAAGTCTAGTGTCCCAGTGAGAAGCTTGATGAGGTTGGGACAGAAACTTAGGGAAGAACTCCCTTCAGTAGACAAAAGGGAAGGGGAGGAAAATGGAGACAGGATGGGGTCAATGGTGTGCCCAGAGTTTAGAGGAGTGTGGATTATAGAAGAAGAAGACAAGATGAATCAGGGAAAGGAATGCCCAAATATGACACACAAGAGAGATAATCAGGAAGGGCATGGCTGGGAAATGCCCAGTGGATCTCATGCCTTGCAAGTAACCTTAGTACAGTAGTATCAGAAAACTAATAGGACAGAAACCATGCTGCAGTGTGTTGGGAAAAAATGGAGTGAAGAGTATCAGCAAGTCTTTTAAATAAGAGTAAAAGTAGCCGGACATGGTGGCCCGTGCCTTTAGTCACAGAGTTCAGGAGGCAGAGGCCGGCAAATTTCTATGAGTTGAGGCCAGCATGGTCTACAAAGTGAATTTCAGCACAGCCAGGGCTGTAACAAAGAGAAACCTTGTCTTGAAAAACATACAAACAAACAAAATTGAGTAAATGTGGGAAGAAAGTGTGGTTATTACACTGCATGTCAACTCAGATATTTGCTCAGGGTGGTCTGAATTGGGATTATGAATGATTTAAGCATCTTACTGATACTGGCTGAGCACAAGCTGAAGGGAAGTCAAAGATTTGAGAGAACACGGGGATGTTTCCCAGAATGATCCAGGGTCCAGAGCTGACCATTTAGAACTGAAGAGTAAAGACACACCATTCCCTGAGCCTTTGGGAAAGATAAAAGAATGCATGTGGGAACAAACTAATTTAAAGAAAGATTTTGTCTGGGAGAGAAAGACTTTGTCTGGGAAGTTCAATTTCCTTCAAAGAAATAGGAACTTGATTGCTTATGAAATAAGAGTGGGACACATAGAAGTTGGTAAAAAGAAGCTCAGAAGAAAACTACAGGTTTAAAAACAAGTGAAAGGAAGCCAGTAGAGGAAGAGAATATTCTCAGGAACCAGCAGAATTTGGAGACTGCAAATATCTGGTAGTGTCACTCAGGTCCCCTGTGTGATATTCATATATTTCTCAGCCATATACATAGGAACAAAGCAGTTCATTTACAGCATTAATCAGCACTGAGACTTGGTCACATGAGCAAAGCAACGTCAGCCTGGAAACGTGTGCAAAATGAGGGGCGAGAGAGAGGGTAGTTCGGTTGCCTTTGTTCTGCCAACTGTGAGACAACAGAAGGAAGAGACCTGAGTGGAGTGATGGGTCAGAAAACAATGAAGGAATGAGGAGCCCCACACTCTTATGAAAATGGTGGGCACGATGGGAATCCGCAATTGGCTTATTCAGCCATCGACCTTGAACATGAGTAGATACAGAACAGTGGAGATGAAGACGGGAATTGGGAAAACATGTTTTGTGGTGGCATCAACTGAGCATGGGGAAGGTGGCCAAGATCTCAGGGAAGGCGGTAGAAGGACAAGTAGGTACACAAATGGCAAGAAGATAAAACTCAAAGCAAGAAGATATAAGGATTTGTGTAAAGACTTGAAGGTGAAAGAGGCCGGGAGGGGAGAGGAGGAAGTCAACCTAGTGAGAGAAATGTCAGAAATAGGATATAAATAAATAAATAAATAAATAAATAAATAAATAAATAAATAAATAAATAAATAAATAAGGTTTTGGATTCTTTGTTTAGTCCATTTCTGGAAGTCCCATTTGACTCTGATGATCTGAGCTCCATTTCCCTCTGTCTCCTCAGACGTTCCGCATCGCGCCTCCGATGTGCATCACTAAGCTGGAAGTGGACTTTGCATTTGAAGTGTTTCGCTCCGCCTTAACTCAGCACATGGAGAGAAGAGCTAAGTAAGATTTCTACAAATGGAGAATCATGAGCCTCAAGAACTTCTCAACTATGTGCAGAGATGAATTGAAGACTGTTGAAACCCCAAGTTGTAGATGAAAAACTGCAGCGCTCCTCAGTAATTGTAAAAGACCAGTAGGTGTTTAGCCATATCTGTCAATGGAGCCCCTATTCTTCTGAGAATTCTTTTCTTCAGGGACAGGATCTATCTCTGGCTCACAGAATAAGTCCCAATTAATGTAGATTTGTCTGGGATAATGGTATTTCCCATTGCATTAACTGGTTTGTAAATGGATACAGGGCATCCGTGTCACCAATTAATCCTGAAGGAAACCCACCTCTGGGGAAGCATTTCTTCATCTTTTATGCTTCTTGCCACACTAGAAATACTGTGTCTCATGATGGAATTTCTCAATTCACATCAGGCAGCTGGAATCCATGAAGAGAAAACCTGGTCGCTATGCTGCATCTGGAAAGCTGTTGGAAGCTGAGAGGTTGGTGATACCGATGAATCACTGACCATGAATCTGGGAGCCATCCTTTCTCAGGGTTCCTTGACTTATAAAATAATAAATTCATTGTGCTGCTTAAGACTTTAATATTTTCTATTAATGTGCAGCCCAAGGGCATCTTGGGAAATAATGCAGAAAACACCTAGGATGATAGCTTCACTCCAAACCTTTAACTCCCTGAAAATACCTACCAGAGCTTATTTTGCTTCTCTGTTACCTCTGCCATCATGTCTTCTTCATCTATACCCTTATTTCTACCATTTCAAATGCATACATCACTTCCCAAACTCTAGTCATTGGCATGTGCAATCATAAATATTCTTTCCTATAGGTGTTACCAGAGTCTTAGAAGTGGCAATATATTTTTTTGATTTGGCATACCCACTGAAATGTACTTAGCAGTAAACTTCAAACAATTACCATAAATGAGAACATATACTACTTACAATGTTATCATGAAAACAGAGCAAACAAGGCTTGGGTATCCAGTGTGTAAGGTGCTTGCCACACAAATACAGGGGGTAGTGGACATTTTGTTCCAGCCCTGGATAGGCAAATAAGAGAATCGCTGCCTGCGACTCACTCCCCAGCCAACCTAGACAAATTAGCAAATCCCAGAACAGCAAGAGGCCCTGTCTCAAAAAGCAAGATGAAGAGCCCTGAGGAATGACACCCTAGGTTGACCTCTGACCTCATCACTCACTTGTACACACACACACACACACACACACACACACCATCCACACACGTACACACTAAGTTAATTAACAATTTTAAAATCCTGTTCCCAGGAGATATAATTTACAAATGTTTTCAGCCTAAGAATTACTTTAAAAGAACATTAGATTATATGAAGCCTATTAAAAGTAATACTGGCAAACTGACCAAGACCTTTGCCTACAAAAAAAGCTGAAGGGCATCTGAAGAACTAACCTGATCAGCATGTGACTGGATGTATATTTAAAAGTATGTGTCCCAGTTTGAAGCCATGTCCTGATTGTCTTATCTTTCTGTGATGTCTCTTCTAACACATCCTACATCTTGCTACCAGATTTGTTTCCATCCGGCATTGACTTAAACATAGCACTCCCTGGAGCAAAGCCTCCTACCTTCTCCATAGTGTCCCTCAGACAAAGTGAAAGTCACTTAGCACGGAACTCCATGCCCTCCAGAATCCAAAAAGAACAAATACCAGAAATGTTCAGTTGGCACCATGGAAAAGTCATTGGATTAAGAGCAAGGACTGGCATTCTCTACTTGGTTCTTCTGCTTAATGTGCTATAAATGACCTCAAACAAGCCTTTTAACCTTTCCTAGCCCAGTTTCTTCCTAAGTGTATTAACTTACCATTGTTACCTTCAGAAGTTATCTTGGGAACGAAGTGAATCAGTGGATATAAAACTGAAGCCTGCAAAAGAGAAATTCTTTCCCTTCAAACGATATTTCCCTTCTTTCCTTCATTATTAACGTTTCCCCAGGAAGAGTTTCTGTGTCCCATGCATACTTCCTTGACTCCCAGCCAAGACCAGCCACCAAGGTCTCGTTCCTGCCACTCATTCCTTGGAAACAGCCTTAACAAAAGATCACATAGTTGACTTCTTTATGGCCAAAATCAAAAGGTGTTCATCCTAAGCAACTTCTTCTTGCAATAATACCCCAGTGTATAAGGTGCTTTTTCCTCAGGCTGGGGTCCCTACAGTTTGCAGAACAATATACAATATACAAGATTTTTGTCCCTTCCATTTTCTGGGAAGGGAAGTTGAGAGATCTAGTCATTCAAGTAAAGCCATAGAGTACATTCCTTGTGGCTTTCTTAACCCTACAGACTCATATATATACCTCATAGTATACTCTGCTGATCCCCCACCTCCTCTTACATGGGGTCATCGTATATTAGCCTTTGTTTTGTTATTGTTGTTTTGTTTTGATTTGCTTTTTGTTGTTTTGCTAGAACAGAACACTTGAGACAAGACAGTTTATAAAGAAAAGAGGTTGACTTGAGTTCATACTAGAGATTGGGAAACACAAGGTCAGGAAGCAGATATGACGAAGATGGCTTCAAATCCCAGTGGAAAGCAAAGAGGCACATGAGGTACACAGACGAGAAAAAAGATGAGCTGAACTTGCTTTATCACAAATGGCTGTAGCAGTAATTAATCCAGCCTGGCAAGAAAAACAGACTCACAAGACAAAAGCAGTTACCTGCTCATATAGAGTTAGTCCTCATGACCCAACCTCTGCCAGCGGGACTCCCAATACTGCCAACACCACAGACAAAACATTCAAATGCTAACACAAAGCCAGCGATGCAATACCAAAAGGTAGCCTGGTGCTGTCCATCTCTGGGCTTTGCAGGGTTCATGGCTCTACTCAGCTCACTGATGACCAGGAGAAACTGCAATCCTTTCTTGAAACAAGATGAAGATGAGCACACATCACATGCCTGGAGCAGGAAGGACATGACTTGGGGCCTGAGAGCATGGATGGCCAGTCATTCCTCTTCCTGGTTTATAACCATGAAGGCATCCTTCTTTGTTCCATTTGGAGTCGTGGGCAGGAGTTTAGCACCACCATTTTTCTCCCTTCCATTTTCTGCTCTACCCACAGGAGGTGGGATGTAAGCCAGCTTGCATAAGACAAGCTTACAACTCTTGCCAACTTTTTTCCCTTTCCTGTTAAAACAGCCTTAAGTGAAGATAATGAATACTTAGCTCAAGTAAACTTTCCACTGGTGGAACATATTGATGGTTAAGCATGTGATTAGAATACAGTGGTAAAATGTTACCAACTGTTTTAAATATTTGGAATACCAATCCACTCAAAAAGGAGTAAGGTTTTAAAATCACACTAAACTTGGGTTATAGCATTAATGATCAGAATTATTGTGAAACAATACCTACAAACAGATGACAAAATAATAAACGACATTCCTGTTTGGATTTGTAAAAATTCCATTCGTTGATCAGTGTAGAACTTAATTTTACAGTACATTTGTCTCTCAGTATTCTTAGGGTATTGTTTCCAGGGCCCTCTGCAGATACCAAACATGAGGATACTCGTTCTATACAGTCTGGAGAATGAGTGACTTTATTAAGTACACAGCAAGCATGCAAAAATGAAAGAAAAACAAAAACGAGTAACAAGCAGCAGATAAATAGAGGCAGCAAATGGATATCAAAACAGATGCTCATGGCATCCATCGGACATGACTGGAATAGCCTGATTCAAGGAGCAAACAGATGGGGCAGCATCAAAGCATGGACTCACAGTGAGCCAGACTGGGGACGTGGAGGCAGTCAGCTGGAGTTTCTGACTG